CCAGTTCTGCACATTTTTAAATTCCGTGTTTAGGTTTCTTGCATCGCTTAGGGACTCAATGGTTGAAAAGCATTTTGTGTCGTCAGCAAATAGAGAAACGTTTACAGATGGTGAAGACACTGACGAAGGAAGATCATTGACGTAGATTAAGAATAACAATGGACCAAGGATCGACCCTTGAGGGACGCCAGACGTAACTGGGAGGGAATCTGATGTTGCACCGTGAACTAACACACGCTGTTGTCGCTCTGAAAGGTAGTTAGAAAACCAGTTTAAAACTTTGTCCGCGACACCGAAATGAATGAGTTTCTGAAGAAGTAGTTTGTGGTCGACGGTGTCAAACGCTTTGGCAATATCCAGATACAAGATATCGGTTTGCAATCCCATGTCAAGGTTTTTGCCGATGCGATCAAGAACGGAAAGCAGTTGGCCAACACATGATTTTCCTCTTAGAAAGCCATGCTGTTCATCCGATAACATTTTCTGAATGTGATCTACCAATCGATTATATTATTAATATAGTAATTATACATGTGTAAATGCCAGAAATATAGTTCATGGCATATAGTTTGGTAAACCCTTCATAACATTTTGGGCTAGATGATCAGAAAATTATAACTTGCACGTGTATTGTTTCGCGCTGTAGCTTTTTGAACTTTTAGACTTATCTGTAATTGTGCATTGCGAACTTCCCGTGCACGTGTTTGGAAGGTTGCTGAAGATAAGTGACGATCATTAGATTTAACTCAATGCCGTCCGCTCTTCAGATTTCCGACGCATATGACGGAAAGATTACATATTAAAGAACTCCGCGAATATTTGCAGTAGAAATACGAAAATACCACCAAAAAATTAAGCCCGCTTGAAAGATACTATATACTTGAATAATAGCCACAAAATATAAACTAGCCATATATACTCGAACCATGTAAACTAGCCATACCATACCTATACTAGACTTTCCAAAGTCCGCGGTTCGTGGTTCCTGGAAGCTACGGACTTTTGTCACCCGCAAGCGCGCCAAATTCACCGGTGCATTGTTGCTCCGGTGACGTCAGTGAATGCTTATTAATATTATGAACAAAACAATAATGAAGTAGTGAAATCGACATGGTGAACGCCCACTATGTCATAATTGATTTTCGCGGCAAATTTTTCAGTAAGATTCAAAATCAGGCAAGTGACACAAGTCGCTCGCTTCCGTCTTTCTCAAGCGCTCCCTTCTTGCTACGCGCGGTCCCTAGCGAGCGGCTTGGGCAAGTCTATAGTTCAATGTTTTCCAAAGAAAACAGTTACTCTTTCCACTCGTGACCCTCCATGGATGTCTCCACTCTTAAAGTATTTAATAAGAAAAAGATCAAAGGCTAAGTCAAGGAGAAAGCTATCTAGTCTATTGCGGCAGAATTAACAGAACGAATATCTGGAATAATTTCACATAATCGAACAAAAATGGCAAAGTCCGAGTGTACTGGCACAAGTCAATGGTGGAAAAACGTCGACTTTTTGTCACATAAAAGAAATCGAGCACATATTATACTTGACAACGAGTTCAAAGAAAACTTGAACGATTACTTTGGAGAGTTATGTTGGGGTAGAGACTATGAACAGCCAACGTTGATGGAGATAGATTCAATCACAATAAAAGCTCCTCAGCTTAGCATAACCCAGGTCAAGAACGCTTTGTTGAAAATAAGGAAAACCTCAACAGGCCCTGATGAAATCCCATTTTGGGTATGGAAAGAAAACGCTGATGTATTTGCACCTGTTATGACCAAGATTTGGAATGAATCTCTCTTTACATCCACATGGCCTACCTCTTGGAAAATTGCTCATATAGACCCTCTATCAAAAGTTGAGAATCCAAAGGAATATTGTGAATTTAGAGGTATAAACGTCACACCTGTGACTGGACGATGCTTCGAAAGAACGGTTTATCATTATCATAGTAAAAGATCTTTCGAGGCTGAGTTATCATCTTCCCAGTTTGCTTATCGAATCGGTGGGTGTAGCACAGACGCCTTAATTAAATTACAGTATATGTACCTGAAAGAACTAGAAGAACCAAATTGTGATGCAGTGAGATTAATTGCAATGGACTTTTCCAAAGCATTTGACAATGTAAAACACGCAAAACTGAGTGAAAAATTGAAATCGAGTTCTATGAACCCTTATTTAGTAAATTGGCACTTAAATTTCTTAAAAGATCGAAGACAGAGAATAGTTTTCCAAGGAGCGACATGCAAGTGGAAAGATATTAACAAGGGAGTTATGCAAGGAACTGTAACCGGACCACATTTCTTTAATTTATTTATTAATGATTTGGAGATTAAAAACTGTTCCAACACCCCCCTTGTTAAATTCGCGGATGATTCCTCACTTTTGGTACCGATTTTGAAGAATACCCAAGATTGTAGTTCTAAAGCCATAGATGAATTTAAGAACTGGTCCGAATCAAACTCTTTACCTTTAAATGAAGGTAAATGTAAAAAAATGATTATATTAAAGAAAGGACGATCAGAGGATTGTGTATCACCAATTTATGGTTTTGAACGGCACTCAAGTCTTGAAATACTGGGGCTAACCTTTGAAATGACAAGCAGATTTGAGAAATGTGTTAAGAAAAAGTTGGTGAAGGCAAATAAATGCTTGTTTGTAATTCGAAAGCTGAGGAATGAAGGATATAGTCAAGACGAATTAGATCTTCTTTTTAGGTCACTGGTCCTGTCACAACTTATACCTATGGCTTATCAGTAATTGCTGCATCACCACCGGAGTTAACAACTATTCAAAACTTCTTAACTCGTTGTTATAAAAGAAGATACACATCAGAACAAATAGATATTAATATACTGTTAGAGCAGACAGATAGAAAGCTGTTTGAAAAGCTGTGTAAACAAAACAATCATCCGTTAAGAGAAATCTGTCCAAAAATTAAAGAATATACAGCAAAACTTAGAACACAAGAGGCACAGTGGCCAAACATTTCTACCGAGCGTTTTAAAAATAGTTTTATCAATAGATGTATTTTTAGATATAATTTAGCTTTGTAACTCTCATAATATAACCTAAAAATTTTTTAATGTTAAAAACTTGTAATATATTTTAAAATAATTGATTTGTAACACTTGATATGTAATTTATCAATTGATTAATAATAATAATAATAATAATAAATAATAATAATAATAATATACAATTTACTCGAACAATGTAACTGACACAATTAATAGATTTTTTATGCTGGATACAACAACTATCATACGGTCCAATCATAAAATTTATATTATATGCCACTAGAAACGTAGACTTCAAACGACACATCTTAATTTACTGCTTTGGTGAATACATGACTGTAGTGGTTAATTTGCTTTCTTAAATCATTGTTAAATATATACCACAAATTTAATAATTGTGTAATATATTTCAAAACTGGTGTAAAATCTGTTATAATAGAGTTGTAAAATCAAAAACGTCGTTAGCGGTTTGACGTTTGCCGTAAACGTCAAGCTAAAACCCTCTATTATTAACATTGTTCCTGTTATTATAAACCTCTTGATGAACGGATGTATTTCAGTAATCAAAAGACCAAGAAGTTTCTTACTGATATTCAAATACATTTCCCGTTATTTTGATACCATGCATGAACAAGCGTATGAAGAACTACAAAACATGACTTGCAAAAAAAAGTATTATCCGCTAATCAAGCTAATTCGCTAATTCGAGGCACTGATCAATTTCATTGGCTGACATATGGAAAACAGGGGGCAAATTTCAACCGGAAGTAGAAATTATATATAGTGGTCTTTTCACTAATTTTTAACTCTATTTTCATTCAACCTTGTTATTACTTCAAAAGTTATTACTTCAAAAGTAAAAACCACCATTCAAAAGGCTGAACTGTGCCTTCAATAATCGACCTTTCCCTGGCCATTATTATACCTCAACATGATTGAAATACAACAATGTATCATTGTCCGGTCCGCCGGATGTGGAACGTATTGTCACAGAAGTATTGTTTTGGCTTAATCTTTTAATCAATGAGTAGGAAGCTCTGCCTGGCTTGTTCAAGAAAGGCTTGAGTTTAGAAATTAAGAGACTTTCGCGAATTAGAAGTTCATCGGAGACGGCGAAGAAGAAAGAACTTGCAGGTAATCAATCGGAAGGCCAGTGCATGCAGTAATAATTTTACGTGGTGTTTCCACAAACAAAAAGTATTATGTGTTTTATCGCCATGCAATTCTACAAAGAACTTATTAGAAGGCCAGTGGTCTTGAGGTGTGAATGGATACGCGAGTGTGTCACTGTGGGATTACTACTCTCATTAGTGAGTTTAAGATACCCCGGTTTCGGTGTACGGGTACGGGTTAGCATGATTTTAGTTAGCAATATTTTTGTCGATGTCTGTACTTTTACTCGTAATTAATGTGCACCGGCATTTTTCGCATTATATCATTGTCTATTAAAAACCGAAAAGGTATATGATCGAATCACAGACATCAGTAAAAACTAGTAAACACGATGACACTACTCGTACCCGTACACCGAAACCGGGGTATATCTTAAACTCACTATATACCTGTTAAGGGGGAACACCTATATAGGTGTTACGATACTCGGGTGTGTAAATGATAGACCGTTTGGCCCACATACGACGCGGCACAGCATCGACACTGGAAAGAATATTACACTACAGTCTACACCCGATCTAAGATCCTTAAGAATTTGATTTTTTTAAAAATAAAAGAGTTACGAACACCCGGTTTATTTCACAATATGTTTCTCATCCTGGACCATCAAAGCTTCACATGTTCCTGTAAACTAAAAACCACTTCTAATTTGTTGTCAATTATTTTAGAAATACACCTTTTTGAATCTTGGTTGTTGTACGTGATGTGACACTTATTTCCTTTTCGTCAATGATGTCTATATATATGGCGTTCAGTAAAACCCGGAACATCAAAAAATACTCTTGGTGAGTGAAATAATAATATTTGTTGTAAATTATTAACAGATAGTTGTTCATACCGGTATTCCGATGATTTACTAAACGCTTGTCTATGTGGTGATAAAATCCATAGACCTAAGAAAAATACGTTCTGCATCAGACCGGGTGATGATGTGTCCAATCTGTAGGTTTTCAATCATGTCGAGGTAATAATGGTCATTAGTATAAATTTTGCATATCAAATGAGCGTTCGCGCGTTCTGATTGGCTAGTTGACTAGTAAATCTGACGCATTATTTACTAGCTGACTAGTAAGGACCTGTTCATATGGTCCTGCTTACCGGGACGTCTCGCTTACCGATGATCTCGTCGCATTATTGACGTATGGCAAGGCGGGGCACCTGCAAAATGCAGCATTTTTATCGGTTCCTGAGCCTTTGGTAACCTGCAGGACTTTATATTCCTTCGTAAGCATTTTTTTATGGGTTTATGTGGTTTATACATGGATATGGTGGCGCTTATTATATACCGAGGGGGGAGCTTATATGATCGTCTGAGCTGTTGGAATCCCAGTCGCTGCGTTAATAAATGCCTGTCCAATAATAAGCGCATAGGCTGATACACAGATGGGTTTATATTCGGAGGGGGGGGGCTTATATTCGGAATGGCCTGAGCGTTAGTGAATATGGTATGTTTGGCTCGCCCTACAGAGGATACAAACAAGCTGAGAACGTCTTGCATTTATATCGGCCTGGTTGAATTTTCCTTTTGCCGATGCAGAACGGCATGAAAGCATGCTCGGATACAAGCAGCCATTTTAAAAATATAACGAGAAAAAACCTGGCGAGCTAGAAATGTCTAAGATGTTTTATTTCATTCATTTAATGTTAATAAAGAATGGCATTGAGTATTTTTTCAATTGCTTTAACCGTTCCGAAGATATTGTGGTGTTATTATTAACTGAAAATCATCGTTCGAATATGAAAATAAAATCGCAAATCTGAAAATGAAGTGGTTCTTTTTACCGTGTTAACATAAACAACGCGGTCGTTTCACCACCCGCCCTGGTACAATATTGCACTCTACAACCCCCCCCCCCCCTTCTTAGCGTTTCAGGACTACAGCACTGCTCAGAACAATTGTCAAACTAAACATTTAATCCGGTATTTTTACAAAAAATGACATCTTTTCTTCAAATATCTGAATTACTACAGCACACAGCCTACAAGTTATACCATACTACCACCACAGTAGCTATGTTTCATGGTTCTATTTCAATTTGCTGCTTTAATCACCTTTAAAAAGAAAAGTACCATTATTCAGACACGACAACATAGTAAGAAAATTTGTTTAATATTTAAATTTGAAATCAATATAACTATAAAAAGTTGACCTCAAGTGACTGTATGATACTATAATGCTTTTCAAAAAATGAGTCAGTAGACAATACTGTCAATGGAAACTCAATTCTATACGACCCGAAAGTTTTAACTTTTCAGCGAACATCTCACACAAAATTGACAGCTTTGTGTACGTAGAACGCAAACCTTTCAATTTTTTATCGAAAGGTCGCTGAAAACTGAATCTGCTGTTCTGGGAGAAAATTTTCCGAATGTTACCAGCGTGTAAAGTGAATTTTTATTATCCTTTTTATTACGACATGTATAGCCTGGTTCACATTGATCGGCGACGTTCTACGATCCATTGTCTGTGAGCAACGAAGAAGAAAATGCACAAAACATTTTACGCATCATTCATCAATGACCACCGACAATGGGCATCGATTTCGTTCCATCCTCTGTCCCAGGGCCTCACGGCTGACATTCCGTGCATGAGGCCCTGGGACCAAGGATGATTTCGTTCTTGTTTTGTTCATGAATTGTTTATACTTTGGGAGTATAACGTGACATATAGTTAAAACTTAAAACGGAAGAAAAGCGAGTAGGAAGCTGACACAACTGAAACAAATCTACATATTTTACTGTGTTAAACACCAATACAGTGCCCATGTGGGTTGCGCAATCTATTAATTAAAAGGTACAATGGCGTCCATATAGTCTGAACTGCGCATACATGCAAATCAGTGAAGCGTTGTGCGTCGAGATAAAATCTTGAATCATAACACATGTAGCTTAGATCGACCGGAAGATTTAAAATATGTACTGACCAAAGTATTGCACTGTTCAATACTTCATCTGTGTGACACGTTATCAAACTACATTCAGGGTGTCCTGAAAAAGCGCAGTAGTTGTGTGTTCCACATTTTTCCACAGCTAACACAGTAGGTATCAAAAATTTAATATAAGGGTTTACTTATTAAGGTTATTAAAATTGTCTAGTGTAGGACCAACGTTATGGTTAACCTATTGGCCCATTGGAATGATGCATCGGTCGTGTCTTATCAATAGGTTTTATGACAGCCTTCTTTTTATTTTACTAATTTTATAATGTTATTTTAAGTTATTAAACAAAATGGCGCTTATTATCTTTGCGAATCAATGAATGTATTATTCTGTCAACATATAGATATTATTACCCCCCCCCCGTGAGAAAATCCTGCATATGGCCCTGGTAATACTATACCAATTTAAGTATAATAATCCTAGTGTCTGAATTCACTTCGTATTTTTTTGGCAAATTTGAAAATTTGTAAGAATGTAGCAACATTGTAGCGTATAGTTTTTAAAATATTTCGAGTATATTTGCCCGATTATTTTAAGGTGTAGCGATCTATAATTTGATCTCCTTGCCATTTTTAGGAATAACTGTAAGTTTTCGGATTGGTGGGTCACAAATAGGAATAATTCATGTAATGGCGCCAGCAATCACAGAATAAAGATCAGTAAAAGAAGGGCGACTCAGCGGTGCAACGTGTCCTCGTTTTTTTTATGCAAAAATATGCAGTTTACTGGTCAGAAGGCGGAGCAGCCAGCTAGTACAGCGTGTTTATTGGCCAGAAAATGTCATTGACTGACTAGGAATATGGCGGCCAACATGCGTAATGCGACATGCGCGAGGACAGAAACTTCAAAGCTTACGACGTAAGTGGCCCTTCTATATGGATCTTTATTCTATGCCAGCAACATTGGATCAAAAGTCAAGATGGCGGATGCTTTTTACGGCAATTTTGTAAACCATCAAAACGTATGGGTAATTTTGCCTCTAAATGAACATGCAAACCAACAATCATCTGCAAGAAAAAGCAATCGTTTGTAGATCTACAATAATTCGACAAAAACCATGCCGAAATTAAATAAACGTCGCCAAAAATGTAATTTTAGGAGTGAACAGCGCGGCAGAATCTTGGGCTTTACACTTCCACTTTCTATGAATTCCTTAGATTCTTGAAAAATATTCTTTCTGTTTAGTAAAATTTCCTAAATGTTTCACCAAATATTTTTTGTTGTTTTGAATGCTTATAGGGTACATTTTCTGAACTTTTTGGACATTTATAGTAAAAGTAACATCTGATTTGATGGACTTTGATAATTAATTATGCTAATATACTTATTATTTCCTGCCATTATTTGCCAATATCCAATGCATTTAATTTTTGTTATGGACCTCGTACTGATTCTCTTTTTCAATCCCATTTCTGACAAAACTCCCATGTTAAGTCTCGCACCAACAAACAACTTCATATAGAGACATAAACAATCAAAAGGCAGCAACCTTAATCTCAATCACGTACATGCACGATCACATTTTTTTCAGAACATCGCTTATGCGATAGCCCCAGCGGTTATAACGCTTAATAGAGCGTCTAGGTACTTAAACACTCACATCTGTGTGCTTTAAATTGGCAAATGTATCCATAGCGGGTGTTACATTTGGTGTCATTCCATTTTCCTTTCCCTGCGCCCTTCGAATACATATGGGCACAGTTTTCATTCCCAGAATCATTTGGCTCGCCCGCATTCCATCTTGTGAAACTTAATGCTTTTCCACAGGTATTATAGAATTTCGCATCCTGTCGTCGTCTGCAAAAAAAATTATTGCAAAACACAGTTATGCCACATTAGTACTAATTTTCGATTCCATGGTTGAGAATTAAGCATATACTTAAAATGCACCTAACCTCGATTCTTTTAATATCTCATGCCGAAGATTGGAAGAATCTTTGAAATGATATTGCAACTTATTTTGAAGATTTTCGTTTGCACACTTTCAGTTTTATTGATATGCAAATGTCCGCAATTTACGTCGCATATGAATAATGACTGATCAAAGAATGTAAGGTACAGTTAAATATCATGAAAAAAGGCTAAATGGTGCTTTAGCTACATAGGTATGTAATCGTCCCACAAGAATCGTCCCACCTGTACCTCAAGGTACAGTTCTTGGCCCCTTCTTATTTTCGTTCATGGTCAACGACATTGAAGCCAAACATCCACAAACGAACAATTTGGTCAAGTTTGCAGACGATTTAACAGTAAGTGTTCCTGTCATATCGTCTGGTGACGCGGCTTTGGACGAGGTAACTAACATTGAGAGTTGGGCAAGCAACAATAGAATGAAACTCAACTTTAAAAAAACCTGGCAAATGTTACTATGTACTCGTTCACCTGCCATGCCTCCCCCCCCCCCCTTTATTAATGGAATACGACTTAAAAAATGGTTAGAACTACTTGGTGTCACCTTTCAAGAACACCCACGTTGTTAGGACAAGCAGGTAGATAGCTTGTTGTCAAAGGCAGGAAGTCGAATTTACATCCTGAGAGTTTGTAAATTCTACGGATATTCGCTAAATGAACTTACTAAATTGTTCGATTCATTGATCCTGTCGTTATTTTACTATGCAATTGAAGTATGGGGATCGGCTTTGCAAGCGAAATACATTGATAAATTCAACAAGTTTCTCAATCGTGCATTCCGATATGGATACACTCAGAATAAATATTCAATGGCCAAGATGATTGAGGAGAGGGATCGATTATTGTTCAATAAGGTCATGCACAATCCTGAACATTGCCTATATGAGTTGTTACCGGAAGAACGTCGACGACTTTAAGAGAACGCGATCATCAATTTATGTTACCAAAAGTTTACACAGAACGTTTTAAACAATCATTTTTGAACAAGTGTCTTTTTTAGAAAGGTCCAGTGGAAGATTAGCGAAAGCTAAACTGGCATATTTCCTAGTAAATTAACCTTCTTTAAATAAAGTTTTAATAATAATAATAATAATAATAATAATGACTTTTAGTTTTAAAATTTTGTTATATACGATATATAATATTAACTATAATGTAAATAATTTAATTTATAAATAATACTAAATTTGTAAATAATCTAATTAACATTTCTCAGATGCACTGAACGTTTTAATAATTACTATGTATATATATATATATATATATATATATATATATATATATATATATATATATATATATATATATATATATATATATATATATATAGGTCATCATATAAGGGATGAGGTGATATCGTCCCTCGAGCGATAAAACTGATATCACCGAATCCCGAGTACGATAACCTATTTATTATATACTTGTACCTTTATCAGGGTTTGACACCCAAAAGTAAACAGTTTTGAAAAAATAGGATCATTTTAGAATTCAAAAAAATTGATCATTTACTGAACAAATATGATTTTAGAAAATAAATAGACCATTCATATAAATAATATACAATTTAAGTCTTTCGTTTTGTATTATCGTTCTTGTTTTCTTCGATAAACTGTCGACATCAACCAACACGAGCCTCGAGCATTGAACTATAAATAAACTGGAAGGCTAACTGCTATGATGAAGGCCTATGATTTGATGAAGCCGAAATAGTTTTTCTGAGTTATGAGCAGAAATACTTGACCCCAAACGTTGGGCTATATATCAAATTGAAGCTATTGAAAATTGCTATTCGGTGTGGAAATTTCAAGACTTCAGCGAAAAGAAAAATATTTTAAAAATACGAAAACAACTGCAAAACGGCAAATTATCGGTAATTATGTTTGTAGTTTTTCAATATTTCCCTTTTAGCTAAAGTCTTGAAATTTCTACACCAAATAGCGTTTTTCAATAGCTTCAATTTGATATATAGCCGAACGTTCAGTGTTGAGTATTTCCGCTCATAACTCAGAAAAACTAAAATACACTGGCTTCAATTTCCCCCCCTGAGTTAGCCTTCCAGTTTATTTATAGTTCAATGGCCTCGAGTCGGCCATCTTTGTTTTGACAAGGCGCGAAATTTAGCGGGACAAAAAACGATATCCGGGACAAAAAACGATATCCGGGACAAAAAACGATATCCGGGACGATATCGTTTTTATGTCCCGCTGCTTCCTACCTGATCAAGGTACAAGTATGTGATAAATATATATATATACTTATATATATATATATATATATATATATATATATATATATATATATATATATATATATATATATATATATATATATATATATATATATATATATATATATATATATATATATATATATATATATATACAAACTTCATTTTAATGAATCGATATAGTGAATACGATATACAAGCTTTTACCTTGAATCATTATGCATTTGTGACGTAATTTCCGGATATTTGCATACCAAACAAACTGACATGTCTCAGAAACAAAGTGACGAAACGGAAATCTTTAAAATAAGTTGTTACATCATTTCAGAAGTTCTTTAGAATGAAATTATAAAAAGAATTGAGGTTAGGTGCACTATAATTTTCGGGCCCATTTCCACTACACAACTTTTTTCCTAATTTATATATACATGCGATCACACGATAACATGTCAAAGTTAGATAACCCTTTT